TTCTTTGTAGTCAGCTTTAGTTGTTGTTGTTGGTTACTATTTTAGTATTTTTAAGTTCCAATTTGTAAACAAAAAAACAAAATTGGGTGGTGATATTCAAGAATGGAGAGAGATACTATAGTAGATTCTATAAATTGGTGATTTGTTTGTATTTGAATTATTTTAATGTTGGAACAGAATTTACTGTGCTTAATTTTTAAAAGGCTCTTCGGTTTGGTGGTGAAATGTTCACTTAATGACTTATTGGATGGTTGTTATCCCAATGTTAATTATGAATTTAGAAAATTCTTCTAAAGTCATTTTCAGTCAACAGATAATGTCTCCTTGGGATTAATTAGTTTATAATACCTTTAAAAAAATTACTTGATTTTCTTTAGTTTAACTGAGGCTGGATTATACAAACATTGAGCCAATTAGAATAATTGACCGTTCACATGATCAATCGTAATACCCAAGTGAAAAAATTTTAAACTATATAGTGTATAATATTCGTTAAAACATCGATATATGTGCTGCAAATCGAAACTATAGATTGATGTTACATTAAAAATATGTCAGTGAAGTGTGGTCTAATTAATGTGTATATGAGCATATAGCATCTTAGTAGACACTGAACTATGTCGAGTCTCTGTGAAACATAGAGATCAGGCCTTAGCCTTCTTTTGCAGTCTCTCTTTATCCCTATCCTTAGCTTCTCTCTACATGTATATACATACACATGAACACGCATATATACACATATATGTTAATGTATGTTTATGTACTATGTACATCTTATCACTGAACTAGGGTAAGGTCTGCAAGAACTAATGTCTTATGCTTATAGGCATGTGTAAACGGACAAATTCATATTTCAGACATGTGAAACCGGACTAATTCGACAAAACTTTGCTTGTTTATTTCAAAAATTGTGTGTGTTAAACAGTCAAGAACTATTATAGTTTCTTTAACACGTTTGTTTGAATTCCAACGCTTAATTTTTCGAAAGAGAAAATAAATATTTTGGTGTGTTTGATCCACTTTTGTGGGTTCTAGAAGTGTATTAAATTATCTGTAAATAATAATCTATTTTTTATTTAAAATTTTTAAAAAAATGCCACATGTTCCGTGAAACTTTACAAAAATGCCATTTTTTAAAAATTTTTGCAAAAATGTCATTCTTTTTTTCAGTATTCATATACTGACTTTGTCTTTTGACTCATATAATTTAACTTTTTAATTTTTTTCTGTCTATTTTTTTTTTTAGATTTCAATTTTTTCAGATTTCAATATTTTTTTTTCTAGATCTCAACATTTTTTTCTCAAATCTCGTTTTTTTCTTTCTTGAACTAAATCTCATCTCTTTCTCTCAAAACAAGATTAAAAACATGAATTAGAGTTTCACAAAAAACAAACTTAAGATAAGATTGAATTTTGTGGATTGAAAAGAAAAAGAAAGAGGAGGACAAGAGAAGAA